AGCTATCTACTTACCTTCCTACCTGTTTACTGTTCTATCTATCTACCCATATATCCGAATTATTCATAGGAATCATCAATCCATCGCTCTTCTTACCCTTCTACCCACCTACCTACCTGTTGATCCATCCATCTAGAGAGATGGATAGATGGATGGATTAGTGGATAAACAGACAGAAAGATAGGTAGGTAGGTAGGTAGGTAGGTAGGTAACTTATGCCCTCAAGTTTTCAATAATCCTTAAAAATCTATCTATCTCATGCCTGGGCAAACTTGGGCCCTCCCTCCAGGTGTTTTGGACTTCAACTCCCACCATTCCTAACAGCCGGTAGGCCTGATGGAGATGCACCCAGCCAGAGGCCCCTGCTATTGTTTGGATCTCCTCTCGTCGCTGGAAACCCAATATGCTGAGTCAAGTCAGCAAACCTAAACCTCTCCGTTCCATTGCTCTTTCTCGCTTCCTACCTTGTGTTTTGTACTTTCGTTTGCTGTTTTAATTAAATGTAGGTCTCATTACTTTAGATGACGCCAATCCCTCCCTGGTGCCATTGTGGGCCGAAGGTTTAATGTGATCCCAGGCAATGGAGGGAATTAATCAAGTGCCGGGCGCATGGAAAAGCAACGTTACGCTGCAACAGAATGCGTCACCGGAGAGCCTTGGCTGCATCCAGGTAATCTCTCCATCGATGGTGGACATTGGAAGAGGACAAAAGTGGGGCACGTTGACCCAACATACACACACATTGGGTGCATGCAGTTTGACACCTCCTTAACCGCTATGGCTAAAAGCTCTGGAATCATGGGAGTTGTAGTTTTATATCAAGGTCTTTTGCCTTCTCTGCCAAAGAGTGCTGCGGCCTCACCATGGCAGAGGCATCAAACTGCATTCATTCTGCAGCGCAGATGCATGCAATGCCTATTTCTGCAAAAGCCTTGCTTCTGTGCTATTTCCCCTTTTTTCACTCTCTCTCTGGCTGGGAACTGAATAACGCCTAATAATCTTTCCACCTCTAAATGCAGAGAAAACTATTATATATTGCTGGGTTAATATATTAATCTGGATGGCCATCTGCCTGGAGGGCTTTGATGGTGTTCTCCTGCCTGGCCAAAGGGAATTGGAATGGAGGGCCATTTGGAAGTCACTCTATGATGCTATGAACCATAAGCCTGCCTTTGCATTGTCTGCCTTGAATATACTACTACTACTAATAATAATAATAATAATAA